AATTCAATTTTATGTGTTTGTATATCTGCATAAAATTTGAAATTGTATACAATTGAATCGAAATAAAATGTTTGTCTATCAAATATCTCTCTCTCGCTTTATACAACACAAATTATACATTGTAATTTGTATAATTCGTGTTTGTATAAAACGAGAAAGATTGAAAGGCAAAAGAGAACTGGGCAGGGGAAAATCTGTATTTGTATAATTATAAGTGTATAGGACGAAAATATATGTATTTGTATGTACAATTTTCTCTCACTTTATACAAATACAAACGAATTTTATACATTTGTGTTTGTATAAAGTGAGAGAGGCGAGGGAGAGACTGGCGAGCGAGAAATGAGAGTGACAAGCGAGAAATCTAGGGAGAGAGGCGAATGACAATTGTTTGCTACGGGTTACAATTAAATCAAATTGTGGTTATAACATTTAATTTGAATTAATAATTTGCTAATTTATACAATTTTTCCTAAAAGAAATGCATATTAAATATTGAAATACGCAGTTCTTAAGTATTTCGTATGGTGAAGAACCATTCACATTTTCTTATAATTTGTTCACTTTATCTACTTTTAAAGAGTTACCAAAAGAATAATATAAGATATACAAGAAAATTAGCAATAAAGATTTATTTAGATGATAATGAAAACGAAGAGGAAAAATATTTATTTAGACGATGATGAAAACTAAGAGAAAAAACAAGGACAATGGAAGAAAAGAAGAAATAAAATATAAATACTTATATCTTTTTCCTCCTATTTTTAGTTTCAGCACTTTTTGTTTATTGAAAGAAGATTCATCAGACAATACATTTATAATTTAATTTAAAAAAAAGAAAAAAAAGAAGTCCTTAAATATGTTTATTCGATTTATATATTAACATTAAAAAATATTAAAAAAAATTCTTAATAAATTAGCCTTTTAATTTTGAAAAATATTTTATATTAAAAATGTAATTCACATAAGTTCTAATTCTATAAAAATATTTGTATTGTGATTTTTGCATTTTTTTATTTCTATAAATGATTTTTTCTTTCTCGTATAATATTTAATGTTTTTAATATATATATTTTTCATAACAGCACGACCAAATTCTCTACTTTAATACTTTCTCTATTTCAAATTAATTGAATTGTTGAGGTGTTTCACATCTTTTAAGAAAAGAAGATTAAGACATAAATTAGATATAACTTTTTTTTTTACCTTTATTAATTATTGTTAATTTTATGATTAAAATAATTAAATATTAATAAATAACTAATTTCAATACTAACTAATGAAGCGTAAAATTAGAAGAACATTTTAAAAGTTATCTAGAAAATTAAACAATTAAGTTAATTTGAAAAATAAAAAATGTCTCGACAATTCAATTCATTTGAAATGGAGGTAGTAGTAAAACAAGCAATTTCCAAGACAAATTGACGTTTTCATGTGTACCTACACACTTTCCAAGACACTTCTATTTTCTTACAATTTCATTTATTACTATTGACCTAATTTGAGCATTACACTTCTAGATACATCCCTTAAACATTTTCATCTATAATTTGTTGCCTATAAATAACTTTTTTTTTTTCTTAATAAACTCACACTTCTCTTCATTCCATTACTTCTATATTTTAACAATTATCAATGGCTCGTTTTGCAACAATGTTTTTGGTTGCTTTGGTTTTCATGTTAGTTTGTCTTGCACCATGTTTTGAAGCAAGAAAACAATTGAAAAAACATCATGTTATAACAATTCCTAGTCTTGAAACTAGCAATGTTGATCGCAAGTTTAAATCCTTTCATAGTCCTGGAATGGGCCATGGTGGTAATCCTCCATTGAGGTCAATCCCGAGTTCTGGAAGAGGTCATTATAAAGAGATGTTCACATCAATTTAGTACAAGTTCATCAAAATGAAGAAGGAGACTTAATTATGTCGAAATTAAAGATTAATTAAGAGAGATAGTCCTATTAGTATAAATTTTGAATGTTTTCAATATTTTAAAAATTCATTAATGCAATGTATTGTTTTGATTTCAATATTCTAAAATTTTGCTATGATTGAAAGATATATTATCGATGGTACATTTTTCATAGCTATTAGTATTGTTGTGCTTAAAAATTCAAATATTATAAGCAATATGTTAGAAAAACGAAATTGCACCTCTCTTTGGCCAAGGATTCTATTTATCTTTTTTTCTCAATTTTTTCTACTTTCTTATTATTGTACAATAAAAAAACATATCAATTATACTCTTCTATTTATTGTTATACTTCATGTTGGAGGTCTCAAGTTCGAAATCTCTTGCCAACGAAAGCAAGGGGTTTGCCTTCTGGGTCGAGCTCGTTGTATCGGGTTTGCCTAGTGTGGGTTACCTTTCCTATGTGATTTGCGAGCTATTGCATACGAGCGAGAGTTTTACCCTGTGTGCACCAAAAGGGTAGCAGCTACGGGTTTCCCTTGTCAACCAAAAAGAAAATTAATAAAAGCATTTGTTTGTGACGAAAATACATTTGTTTAACCACGAAAGACATATTACTTTAGAAACAATTGGTATCGTCATTGATTGAACAAAATAATTAGCGATGATATACTTTATTCGGTGTTAATAACTTTTTTAGTGACAAAATCAATCTATTAACTACAAAAAAAAAATTTATTTTTTGTGACAAATAAATTCGTCATAAATGTTTATACATTTCGGAGCGATTTTTCCTTTTGTAGTTAATATAGTTTTTTTAGCGACGAACTACTAAATCGTCTTAGTATACTTTTAGTGACACACGTTTAGTGACGAGTGAATGACAAAAAAAAATTCGTCACACAAGATCTTTAGTGACAAAATATGATTTATAAGTAACGAAGTCATTTGTCGTTAATAATTGAATTTGTTGTGGCAATAGTTTTTTAATATCAAAGTTTTTGGTTAAAATATCAAATTAATGTTATTAAAATTAACTTTAAAAATTAATTAAATTGACTTTCGAAAAACGTAATATGACAATTAAAAGTGAATGGAGGAATAGTATACATATAATATGTCATGAATCATTGATTTGACTTAGTTATTTATCTCAAGTGCTTCAAGATTGGTGGAGTAAATCTCAAGTTAATATTTCAAAAGGTTACTCAATTTTGAGAATTTATATAGCGATGTCACTAAATTTTGTTTTAAATCAATAAAATCACTCAACTTATATATTTGTATCAACAAAATCAACAAACTAAATTTGTCATTAAAAATAAACTAACATGGCAAAATAAATTATTTTTATACCATGTAAACATAAATCCCATAAGAGTATCATATGGAATTTCCTGCTCTACAATTATCATTTCCAGCGAAAAAAGTTATGTATTATATTCCAAAAATTTAAGGATTTCACAGATTTTCATAGAAAAAGCATTAAAAACGAAACAAAATAGAAGTTCTACACTCATTTTTAATTTTTTTTGGAATTTGATTAGAGTATTAGTGTATATTTTTTTATTGTAATAACATAAGGTTATTTGTTTAACTAATTAAGTTTGTCTCTAAAAAAATTAATTATGTTCAATTCACTTGGATGACTTGCCATGAAATTTAAGAAAATAAATGTCTTTTCAATCTTATGGTTTAGATTAAAGTTTTTACAATATTTTACTTTCATCACATGACATGTTTAAATTCATAGGATTAAAGACATTTTGGTTTATATGACATAAATTTATCTAGCCAAATACGTTTTTTTATGGTTGTGTGGATTATGATGAATATATGTTCATTCACTTTGTTCTTGAATCTGAAAAATTCCAACAAAATTATGTCAGTGAGGTAAAAGTTCTCAACACTTAGAGCCCGTTTGGAATGACAAAAAAATAGTTTTTAAGTCAAAAAATAAAAAGTCAAACTTTAATGACTTTTAAGTAAAAAATAATAACTTTTAAAAGTCATTTTAAACTTATTTTAAATTATTTTAACTATTGTCAAACATTTCAAAAGCTAAAAAAAACTTAAAAATAGATTTGATCAACTTTTAAGTCAATTCAGATAGGCTCTTAAACCAAGCAAATTGATTCTGGCTAGATAAAGTCACTTCAGTTCTCAATTTTTTTAATTAAATAAGTAGCGAGAGCAAAAATTAAAAACCATTTAATTACAGAATAAAAATGAAATATCACTTCAAAATAATAGCGACAATTTGTGCAAAAACTTTATTAGAGATTTCACATTCAAATCGTGACAACAACGAAAAATCCTATTAAATAATATTTTCTCTTGAACAAATTTACACAACATAAATTCAAAGTAATTTAATTCAATTCTAATATAAATATTGAATCTCGAAAAACTAAAAATTAAATTTAGAGAAAAACGAAGAGGGTTTAGAAAATGCACATTGGTCATTAAAGGAACATGTATATAAATCATATACAGTGAATTTGTATTTTTCATGTGTTTCATAATTGAATATTTAATGTAATTTTGCATGTGATTTATAAGATAATTTTAATTGCTTGGTTTGGAGTGGAGATTAATTACTTTCGCTACAACTTCAATTTTCATATAATTCAGGGTGTTTGGATTTATGTTTTGTATTAAAAAAATCACTCAACTAATTTTATTATTAAAAACTATCTAATATGACAAAATAAATTATTTTTTACAACGGGTAAACATGAACCCCACTAATAAATAAAATTAAATGAAGTGAACATATATTCACTATCCATACAACCATAATATTGTACGTAGAGCAAGAGGTCCAATAAGCAATGGGAACAGCAAACACCGGCGACTTAGTACTCTCTAGTTTAGTTCATTTGTACCTACACAATTACCCAAAGCTAAACTCTTCTTTTTCCTAAAATTTCAATTATTACTAATTAATGAACTATAGTCTAGATTTCTTAAACATTTTGTCTTTTATTGTCTATAAATAACATGTCTTTTCTTAATAAACTTACATTACTTCTTTTTTTCTCCTTTTTGCTCCCAATATTTAACTAGACATCACTCTCTGATCAGTGATGGCTCGTTTTGCAATAATTATGCTTTTGATTGCTTTGGTTACTATGTTAGTTTGTGTTGCTCCATGTTTTGAAGCAAGAAGACAATTGAACAACATGGATAAGAAGAAGGTCACTAACCTGGCTTCTTCTGCTCCATGCAAAGAAGGTCATGTTTATGGCAACTTGAATCCTGGCCCTAGTCCTGGAGCCGGCCATTCTGGCCCACCTGGTCTTGGAATGGACCATGTTTATGGCAACTTGAATCCTGGCCCTAGTGCTGGAGCCGGCCATTCTAACCCACCTGGTCCTGGAATGGGTCATGTTTATGGAAGCTTGAATCCTGGCCCTAGTCCTGGAGACGGCCATTCTGGCCCACTTGGTCCTAGAATGGGCCACACTTTTGGCAAGTTGAATCCTGGCCCTGAAGCCGGCCATTCTGGCCCACCTGGTACTAGAATGGACCACGTTTATGGTAACTTGAATCCTGGCCCTAGTCCTGGAGCCGGCCATTCTGGCCCACCTGGTCCTGGAATCGGCCACATTTATGGCAACTTAAATCCTGGCCCTAGTCCTGGAGCCGGCCATTCTGGCCCACCTGGTCCTGGAATAGGCCACACTTATGGCAAGTTGAATCCTGGCCCTAGTCCTGGAGCCGGCCATTCTAGCCCACCTGGTCCTGGAATAGGCCATGCTTATGGCAAGTTGAATCCTGGCCCTAGTCCTGGAACAGGCCATTCTGCTGGAATGGGCCACACTTTTGGCAAGTTGAATCCTGGCCCTAGTCCTGGAGCCGGCCATTCTGGCCCACCTGGTCCTGGAATGGGCCACGCTTTTGGCAAGTTGAATCCTGGCCCTAGTCCTGGAGCAGGCCATTCTGGCCCACCTGGTCCTGGAATGGGCCATGTTTATGGCAAATTGAATCCTGGCCCTAGTCCTGGAGCCGGTCATTCTATCCCACCTGATCCTGGAATGGGCCATGTTTATGGCAACTTGAATCCTGGCCCTAGTCCTGGAGCCGGCCATTCTAGCCCACCTGGTCCTGGAATGGGATTAGGTGAATTCTGATTTGTAGTGGGATGCAATATAACTAAGTACAATATATTATTTGAGTCTTTTAAGGGACTTATATACTCATTAATAAAATTAATGAGACTTCTTTATCTTATGTTATTCTATCTATTTTACAGTGCATGGACTAAATATTCCAATTGTTTAACTGAATGATGTATGTAGTAGTATACATATAACCTGGCAATTATCGTTTTGGCTTAGTTAAATTATATCTCATTGCTTCAAGATTGTTAGAGAAAAATTGAAGAATGATTATTGATTTCTTCGAGGGTTGAATAAAAAGAATAATCTGAAATGCCACGTGGCATATTTTCCTTTTTTATCAAAAAAAAAAGGTTATAATTAAAAATAATTTAACAACAAAATTTTAGTTGTATATACTTTTAATGAAAATTTTTATCACCACATAACTTAGATCTATTTGTAATTAAATGATGTCACATAGATTGATACGAAGATTGTAATATTGATATTGGCTTTGAACAGATCTTTGGATCTCATGCATGGTGTCATTATCAAGGAAAAAAGTTAGATATAAAAATTGGGACGACCAAATAAGACTTTCCTACAATAAAATAGGGATAAGGGATTGAAAAATATTTTTGGTCGAATTTGTTGTTGCGATACTAAATTTTCATGAAGACCTAATACCTTCCTAGACTATTTAATATCGTATTTTAAACATATATATTTGTCCACGTGGACATAAAAAATAATGCAAAATTATAAACAGTAATGTGTCCATGTGGGCACATATATACCTTTAAAATACACTATTAAATAGTTCATGGGGTAAAAAATACTGTATTAAATAGTCTAGGGAGGTAATAGGTCCTCATGAAAGTTTAGTATCGCAACAACAAATTCGATCAAAATTGAGGTATTTTTCAAACTCTTATCCCAATAAAATAAAAAACGATATTCTTATGAAGAAAAAAAAAATTCCATAGAAAATAAGTGGATTATTTCATTTTATTTTTAGTTTGACAACTAACAAAGAAAATATTTTTAGTTTTAGTTTCATCCGATATGTCATTTTTCTTGTTTTTAAAGAGCTTGTTTTTCGATGAAAAATATTTCTCTCCACACAAAACACACACAGGGTGTCTTCATCATTCGAATTTACGGGAACACGTCACATGAGATTTGAAGGGAGATGAGGAGAGTCAGACTCTTAACTCAATAATACACAAAAGTGGAATAACCTCCAGGCATGTCATTTGGCCCAATATTGTTTATAGCACATGACCATATTTTTGTTATTTTGTAGTCGTAAATATTTCTATATTATCTTTTGTTCATCCATTATGTATGCTTATATTGCATCACATTTTAATTTTTTTATTGAATAAATAAATTGATTAATGCTTTGATAAATTCAGTGATCATTCTTAAAAGGGAAAAGGTCAAAAATATCCCTCAATTTTATTTTATTGGTTGACTAAACCCTTACCGTTAAAATGAAGTTAGTTTTACCCCTGCCGTCTACAAACTCATCATTTGTACCCTCCAAACTAACGGTTTCCCCAAATCAATTCCAAATTCTCAACTTCGACCCGAATTATCCCTTTAAAAACAAATTATCAATTAAATCCGACCCATAACCCATTTAATCTGATCTTACATACCAAATGTATAAAAAAAAAGTAATGAATTCACCAAAACCCATTTCAATTCCTAATGAACAAATAAATTTTCAGCCATTAATGAGCTTTTAAGAAGCAATGTTAGGAGCAAAAGCAGAGGAAGAAGACATGCCAGCCTTATGTTCATACACAAAAATAAGAACAATATTGCTATTGAAATAATCCAATAACCTTCTTCCCCAAAAGTCACTTGTATAGATATATTCACTAGTTCTTCAAATCCGCCGCACACGACGGCGAAAAGGCAGTACTAGGCGGTCGAATTCCACCAGAAAACAACAAGAAGAAAGAAACTAAAAAGTTCATGCTGCTGCAATTTTGGGTGGGAATTATCTAATTACACAAATTCAGATATGTGATTTCAGTGTGAAGAAATGGGTGTGATGTTTTCGATTTGGGTATTTTGGGGAAGAAGTTGAAATTATTGATTTTTCGAAGTTGGAACTCGCTTGTAAAATCCGAAATTCAAACTCAAGCTCCAAGCTCCATTAATGGCTATGAAGTTTCCATGGTTGGTTCTTCAAGTTTCAGGCTCCAATTCAAAAACTAGTACCCTTAGAAGCTTTTAACAATGGCTTTGAAAATATTTACAGAATGAGTAACACTACAACAAATTCAATGACAAGGGAGAAATCCATTCTTTTTAGTTTTGGTGGACTCAACAAGATTGAGAAAATTGAAAATTAAATTAAATTTTGTTTATAATGGTGGTGGGTTTTATATGGGTCGGATCAGATTAGAAAAGAATTTCATTCTAAATGAGTTTCAAATGGGTAATTCGGGTCGAAATTGAGAATTTGAGATTGATTTGGGGCAAATCGTTAATTTGGAGGGTACATATGATGAGTTTGTAGACGGCAGGGGTAAAACTAACTTCGTTTTAACGGTAAGGGTTTAGTCAACCAATAAAACAAAGTTGAGGGGTATTTTTGACCCTTTTCCCTTCTTAAAATTTAGAAAAACAAACTACTTCAAGGCGTGAAAATAATATTTAGAGGTTGAACACTAAACTTAAGATGATTTGGATGTAATTTAGGTAAAATTTCGTGCTTATTGAGCTGCGGTGACCTAGCACGACAAAACACTCTCAAAAAAAATCAAAAAAATTGTTAGAATATTCACTATATTACCTTTTTTTTTTTTTTTTACCCAGATCCAATATTTGAATAACTTATATTCAACTCACCCATTTGCTATCTTTAGTTGATAGGATCAGTTCACCACTCAAATTATAACTTAGATATATACTTTTCTAATAAACTATTTTGTGAATATTAATAATTAAATTCAGATCTATATAAGTCCCAAAAAAGGCGTAGCAAAACTAGTAAAGGATGAATTTGCTACTAGAATGGAATCGTCCGCTCTTTTTGACTAAGAAAATGGACGGTGTGAACTATGACCTCAACCTTTATTCGTCTTCAATCCACAAAAAGTCGTCTTTTTTTCTCATACTCGATATTCGATATTTGCATTACATTAAAACTACAAAAACAACAATAATAAAATAGAGTTTGAGTAGAATATAGTATACACAAACCTTAACCGTACTTGTTGTGTCAGATCAGTCGGTTAACTGCCGACCGCTCTTACAAGAGAGTTAATCACATAGAGTTCAATTCCCCTTTTTCGGATTTACCCGGTGAGCACAATTGTTGCTCGGGTAGGTGGTGCAGGTTTCAAGCAACTTAAGGCTATTTTCAATTCTAGTCCTGCAAAACACTATTTTACCCTAATAAAATTCCATATCTAAGACTCGAAACCAAAACTCTGGGAGGAGATATGAAAAAACCTTCTTTGGTTAAAAAGGTTTTCACCCACCAAAGTGTAGAAGCAACACTCCAAAATGCACACACACAAACAAACATTATTATCAATAAAATATTAGCCGAATCATATTAATAAAATAATGTACACAGCTAAGATTCTTCCACCACTCCTCTCCTAATATTAACAAAATTGGAGGAATATGATTTTTTCTACTTTAAAATAGCATTACTAGTACTACTACAACTACTACTACTAGTAATAGTAAACATTTTCCAACTAAACAAAACATAGAAAAAAACAAAGACAATGTTTGATAAACACTATTCCAAGTTTCCACAAGACACAAAAATTCATCAACGCGCTTTCCGCTTTTATTGAAAAGCCAGCCAGCCATGCCATGCCCCCCTTCTAAATTCCTCCATCATTCTGGTCTCTTTGTTCCCATTTCACAACATTTAAAAAAACAATGTTATCGTTGATGAGTTGTGTTGTGGGTCCATTTGTAAAGGAAAGAATCTGATGCTGCTTTTGGATTTACCATCTATGGGGGGTTCAACACAGGTAAACTTGACACTGAATGACAGTTTTACCTATCTTGAAACCGGGAACCACCGTGAAGCCAACACGGGGTTCGGTTTCTGGTGATCCGTCCCATGATATGAACGCTTCTTCATTCAGACTCTCCATGTAAACGTCTGAAAATCGATTACCTTTACTCAATTGGAAGATTGAAGCTATGGGATCGAAGGAGAAAGCTAGACAGTGTAGTAACCAGATGCGCTTAGCCATATCGCTGTATGCGGAGAAGAAAGTTGACTCGGGATACTCACCTGAATTGAGTATGTTTCTTTGATCCAGGTTGCCGAAAATGGAGTCTTCCATCTTGGGATGGATTAGTTTCAGGTACTTGGCACGACAGAATCTTGAGAATGTTGATTTGGGTTTCCAGGCTAAGTAATCAGCAGGCTTCATGGATCTTAGCTCGGTGAATCTGTCGTAAAACAACTTTTGCCTCTTCTTTTGCTCGGGCAGAGGCTCGGTTGAGATGGAAAAGGTTGGATAATTGAAACCATCAAACATCTCTCGGCTAACGAATGACTCAAAGGCGTAACATATGTCATTTGCTTTCGAGAACTCTATACCGGGTTCGATGGAACTGGCTGCAGCATCTAACTTCCACCCAGCATCTACCAGCTCCTTGCTCAACAACCTAACAAAGCTTCGAATAGACCTAATTGTCTGCCGATGGAACATGATAAAATGGCTGGGGTTCAAGCTTGAAAAGTGAAGATTGTCCAAAGGAGACACAGGCCCGCTGGCATTCAATCTTTTCTCAAGCAGCTTGTTTTCATGATTAGCCTCAACTAGTTTCTCTCGAAGAAACATAAGTTCTGATTCCTTGAGTTTGAGCTGTGAATCCAGCTTCTTTCCCATGATATCATACGTCTTCAAAATACTTTTCTGTTCCTGAATTTCGGCCAAAAGGTGAGTTTTCTCTGGGGAATACTCATCAAACTGCTTCTTTACAAAGCACTGTTTCAATTCAGACAAGTTCTTCAGTTCGGCCACCACCAAGTC